ACTTTCATGGGACTGTGTGAGGAGCTCGCCCCACCCTGCGGCGCAAGGACACGAGATTGAGAGCTGCCCTGCCAGTGGAGAAGCGGGTGGCTATTGCAATCTGGAAGCTGGCAAATCCAGACAGCTACTGATTGGTCGCTAACCAGCTTGGAGTGGGAAAGTCGACCGTTGGAATCGTGTTGATGCAAGTTTGCAGGGCCATTAATCGCATCCTGCTCAGAAGACCCGTGACTCTGGGTAACGTGCAGGACATTGTGGATGCCTTTGCACAAATGGGGTTCCCTAACTGTGGAGGGGCGATAGATGGGACGCACATTCCTATTCTGGCACCACCCCACCTAGGATCCGAGTACATTAGTCGGAAGGGGTATTTCTCTATGGTTCTCCAGGCGCTTGTAGATCACCATGGGCATTTCATTGACATTAACACAGGCTGGCCCGGAAAGGTGCATGACACACGCATCTTTCGGAACACTGGCCTGTTCAGGAAGCTGCAGGCCGGGACTTTTTTCCCAGAACGGAAGATCATGGTAGGGGAAGCTGAAATGCCCATTGTGATCCTTGGAGATCCCGCTTATCCGTTAATGCTGTGGCTCATGAAACCCTACACAGGGAGCCTTGACAGCAGCAAGGAACGGTTCAACTACAGGCTGAGCCGGTGCCGAATGACTGTGGAGTGTGCCTTTGGCTGTTTAAAGGGCCGCTGGCAATGGGAAGCTGGATGTGGGTGAAAACAGCATCCCCGTGGTTATATCCGCGTGCTGTACCCTCCAGAACATTTGTGAAGGGAAGGGTGAAAGCTTCACTCAGGCATGGACCTCCGAGGTTCAACACCTGGAGGCTGAATTTGCACAGCCAGAGAGCAGGGCTATTACAGGGGCCCAGCGCGGGGCTGCAAATATTAGGGATGCCTTGAGGGAGCAATTTGAGGCTGAAAACCAGCAGTGATATCTGGTGCCCTGCACAGAAGTGAAGTGCAGTGGTTACAATGTTAGTAGGAATCTGTGTTTGCTAAGCAGACTTGCAGTGCCTGTTTCTTTCCTGGGCTAAGGTATCTTTTACTTTATGCAATAATAAAGAATGTTTTCAAAGCCAAAAAATCCATTTATTGAAAAGAAACACAACTGCTTGGGAAACAGAAAGGGCAAGGGGGTAGGGTGCGGAATGGTACAATCTCAGATTTGCGTATGTCCTGTCTGGAGTTCTGTGCAATGAGGGCTGCACTTCAGGATGGCTAAAATGCCTGGTGATGGGGGTTGATTGCACAGGGTAAGAGTCATAGTTTTCAGGGCTGGGTGGTGAAGCTACAGGTGTTGGAGGCAACTGGTGGCGGTAAGAACCCAGATGTTGGGGAAAGTGGGTTGGAGGTGACATGGGGGCACAAGGGAAAGAGTTTTGGGACAAGCGCAGCGGGGGAGGCGGGCGCGGTAGTGCTCCACCTGCATGACTATGAGCGCCTGGATAGAGTCCGCTTGGTGCTCCATGATACTTATCAGCCGATCCATGCTTTGCTTCCGGTGCGCTGCGTTTTCCTTGTGGATCCTGCTTTCACTCTCCCTCCACTCCTGCACTTTTTGATTCTCTTTAAGAGATTGATGCATCACTTCTTGCAGCGTGTCGTCTTTGCTTTTTTGCGGTCTCTTCTGGAGTTTTTTGAAGTCTCTCAGCCGGTGATAACACGGACGGCTGAGATCTCAAGGTTGCATCTGTAAAGGCAAAATGCAACATTTAACAGAGGCAGCATTGTTCATACCAGACAGAGCAATGATTCCCCCGCACTTAAGGAGGGCGCACACAGTCTACACAATAGCATAATTTTCCCGTCCCAAAGAGAGCGCACATAACCCATGGGAGCCCCAAAATGGTGAGTAAGGGGGACTGATTGTTTCAGGGCTGTACTGTCCTCTGGGTTTCTGTGCCTTGGGGAGAGCCAACGGCTGCAGGGGGCACCTACACTGAACGCTGTCCCAACATTTTCCACAGGAGTTTGTCCTGGAAGCTATCTCGCTGCTGAGGGTGACCTGGGAAGCAACGGAGGGTCTTCTACTGCAATGGGGCCTCTGTCCTGGCCCATATGCAGCTTGCCTGTGTGCAGCAATGGTCCCCCCACCCCTCGCGCCACAGTGGCGTGGACAC